TGGTGGAATAACAAATACACCAAAACATTCTTTTTTATTGAATCTAATCAGATTTGTACCAAAATCCATAAATTTACACCAATTTATACACCAGTGTGCTACTTGAGAATAAGTTTTCAAATCTTACACACTACCATTAAATTTTAAATTTCTGCGACAGTGTTTAGAATTTGTTTTCACATATCGTCTCTAGACACGAATAAAGGCGGGAGCTCAAAAGTTTATCGCGAAAAAAGACGCATAAAAAACTGCAGCGAACAGTGTGTAACCGTACATAAATTCCCCAAAGAGATTTGGGGAATGATGCTGAAGTGACAGTCATTGCCCAAGTATACATATATCTAATGATTACGCGTCTTTCTTCGCCGAAGTTTTTCTTAAGCGCCTTTTTTCGTAAAATTTTTCTTACGCGTCTTTTTTCCCGTCGAAACACTAGCGCGCCTTTAATCGTATCTAGTGACGATATATATTTATTGCAGTTGTTGCGGCTGTCGGAATGGAAAAGAGAGCAGGCGGTCTGAAAGGACGAGTTCCAGAGCCGAAATTGATATATTGCGGATATCCGAATTTATTATATTGCGCATCATTTGATAATATCGGAAAAATTCGACCTTCAAGAATACTGACTACGAAAGAAAAAAATATAAACTTTTAGTAGAAATGTCTGATATCTCAACGAGAAAACTCTGTATTTTTTATTCTGGAAAATAGTAGCTGCCAGACCATAGAGTCAACTCTGATTTTTAACCATAAAGATTCTAACAAATTTGACGTGTTGGAAAATAATTAAAGATGTATTTAATTTAGCATACCTAGATATTAAAAACCCCCAATTATTGGAAAGGGGAAAAGTAGATTTCTACAGCGTGACGACGAATAACTGTTACCCTGGTTTTTTGAGAAATAAAAGGGTCCTGTATAGATTTTGCGAAAAAAGTATTTTATTATTAATTTTCCACAGAATTTACTTTAGTTGCATCAGTTAGTTATTCAATTTTAATCCCTATTTACATTTGCCAGCAGTTTAAACTTTGAGAGAAAAGTTCATTTGGCACGCAAGCCTTTTCAAGTGTATTTTTCCTTAGGCTTTGTATAAAAAAATACAAAAAAGAAAAAAACTGTATAAGGTTGGTTGAATGAATGGCCGTCCTAGTCACCAGTTCCGTCCTAGTCACCAGTCTATTTGATTTTTGAGTATGAGGCCTTATTTTGGACAAAAGGGACTCAAAACGGAGAAAATTTGCCTATGGTTACAGAAGATATGGAATAAATTAACTGACGAAGACCTGCGTGCCAAATGAACTTTTCTCTCAAAGTTTACACTACTGGAAAATGTAAGTAAGGCTTAACATTTAAAAACTAATTGATCAGGAATGAGACACGAACACACCATATGTTGACGGTTGGCAACTCTACATTGTATTCATTTTCTTATGTTACATTATTATGCTTTGTTCGCTTTGTAATTTATGCAAATCATGTATGTACATACGGAAATAAGTTTCAACTGCATTTATACTTGCTCGTTCATTTTCTCTCGTTCATTCTTCTATTGGTCAGAGAGACAGCAGCACCTGACTGCTTAGCAAATAAATTAAGTTGAACCAAAAAGTTCGTTTCTAACCAAAAAGTGGTCCTTTTGATCCGGATCCAGCATCCAGCTAAGGTATAATCTGGGTTTACGATTTATACCCAGCATAATTAATTATTTCACTTCTTGAGTGAAATCGACTGACGAACCTGCTGCGCAGTGTCACGAGCTGTAAGGTAACTGAACCACGTTACTGGAAACTTCCATAGCACGTGGCAGGGGTTTTGCCAGGAATTGTTTGCGCGAGTGGTTGCGCACTACGCTTACGTGAATTTCGGTCGCCACATCTGGCGTATCTAAGATCAGCTTACGTTTAGCACCTCGCCTTTTCCTTTGTATTAGCGTGGTCGCGTGCGATAATGGCGGAAAGTTGGAAGGAATTGGTACAAATTCGCGGACGTACCAAGGCGGCCATCACACGTGTCCTTGGCTTTGCACAAAATCCTCCACCGGATCACGCGCAGAATGATATACTTACACGAATCGAGCGCTTAAAGGAGGCGTAGGATGAATTCGTTGCAGCTACAAACGCCATGTATCAATTCAGTGAAAGTCCCGAATATTCTGATCCAGACGAAGACTATGGAGTTTACGATGAAAAGGTTTTGACTGCACGTAGTCTGCTTCGCTCGCTCCAGGATTCCTTTACGATTCCAACTCAACAACCCAGCCTGGATGACACCATATCTCGACTAGCTGAACAACAGTCTGCATTTTTTAATCAATTTTCTACTGCTTCGATTCCAGCACCACAAGCAAAAGACGATTTGCCTAAAATTACCATCCCGCCTTTCACCGGCCTGTACAAAGACTGGCCGCCATTCAAGGACTTATTCACCAGTGCAATTGCATCGAAACATAACCTCACTAATACACAAAAGTTTCATCATCTCAAATCGTTGCTAAGGGATGACGCTGCGCAAATTATCAAACACATTCCGGTAACTGAGGCGTCTTACGAAACGGCGTGGAACAGATTAAGCGAACGTTTTGATCGCCCACGCCATATAGTTGCTTCATTTATTGAGAACTTTATGGCACTTCCCTGTGCATCAGGCGAAAATTCTACAATTCTTCGTAAAACATCAGACGGAGCAAACGAGGTTATCAGGGGTCTACATGCCATATCCCATGACGATCGCGACTGCTGGCTTATTCACCTTCTCCTAGCCAAGCTAGACTCAGAGTCCCGACGAAAGTGGATTGAATCTAGTAAGAAGCTCGAAGCACCTACCATAACCGAATTTTGTAAATTCCTTGATTCTCATTGCGAAGAATTAGAATTGGCGCAACATAAGACGCAATCCGCACGCCTTCGCAACTCTGCAACTCGGGTCCTAGTTTCAACTAACGGGGCGGCCTCAAAGCCAGGCTGTCCTAAATGTAATGGCACAGATCATTGTCTTATGAAGTGTCCAGCATTCTTATCCTTGAACACAGATGACCGGCGAGCTATAGCCAAGGGTAAATTGCTGTGCTTCAATTGTCTGAAGACAGGACACTCGACATCAACATGCAGTTCTAAATTCAATTGTAAAGTATGTAATCGACGCCACCACACACTCCTACATGGCCCACAGTCGGCCGCAGGTACAGCGGCTCGAGCAGGTCAAGAGAGCTCTTCTGGTGCAAGCGGAATCGACAATGGTACGCCATGGTCCGTATCTCACATCGCACGCTCATTGACATCGACACCAGCTGACACCCACACACGTCAGCTAGCACCGCTTCGTAAGGGATCGACAGCCTTGCTGCCCACAGCCATAGTCAACGTTCAAAGTGCCCACGGTGGTTTTTTGAAATGTCGAGTACTTCTGGACACCGCATCAGAACTATCGTACATCACCGAGCGCTGTGTCCAGAGGCTTGGCATTCCGCGCTCTGCTGGTCGCATCGCTGTATCTGGTATATCGTCCTCAAAGGGTGAAACCACTAGAGGCTGTTGCTCGCTGGTACTTAAGTCTCTCGCGTCGAACAACGTCTTAAACGTGTCTGCGTATATACTCAGCAACATCACATCATCTCTTCCCACAAAACTAATTCCTGCATCAGAAGTCGAGCAGCTTAAGCACGTTATGCTCTCGGATCCAACATTCCAGACACCCGGATCGGTCGACATTCTTTTAGGTGCAACTTATGTCTGGAAGGTTTTCACCTGTAACAAAATGTTAGACTCAATGGGAGATCCTGTGGCAGTTTCCTCAATTTTTGGATGGGTGGTCACTTCAGCAATCGACGGGGTGGGTTTAGCGGATTCCACCCAAGCTCTGCACACCATATCCGATGTTGATAACTTTCTCCGAAATTTCTGGGAAATTGAGGAACCCTGCCAAACTCAACTAATGGATTCCGACGACGTAACCGTAGAAGAGCACTTTCAACGCACGCATACGCGTCATAGCGACGGTAAATACATTGTAGAGCTACCATTTAAGATGAAGGCACCGCGGTTTGCGGAGACATTATCGGGCGCTCTTTCACGTTTTCACGCCGTCGAGCGTCGTCTACAGAAAAACGAATCTCTTCGACTACAATATGTTAAATTTATGCGGGAATATGAGGCACTGGGCCACATGCGACAGCTAATGCCTCACGAAATCGACACTTCTAATGGGCAGGTTTTCTACTTGCCACACCATCCAGTCGTTGGTAAAAAACTTCGGGTGGTGTTCGACGGATCGTTTGCAGACAGCAGTGGAGTTGCTATTAATAGCATTTTGCACATCGGTCCTAGCATTCAGCGCAATTTGTTTTCCGTATGCTTGCGATTCAGGATGCACCGATATGTGTTCTCGGCAGACATTGTAAAAATGTTCCGACAGATATGGGTCGCCGAACATCATCGAAACTACCAAAGGATAGTGTGGAGGGAGAGTCTTGCTGATCCCATAAGACACTTCCAATTATGCACGGTTACGTATGGTACAGCTTGCGCCCCATATCTATCTGTCAGGGTACTACAGCAATTAGCAGAGGACTATAAGCATCAATTCCCACACGCAAGCTCAATCGTACTTGATGACTTTTATGTCGACGATGTTCTCACGGGTGCCGACTCCGAACAGGAACTCATTGAAAGGCGGGAGGAGCTTGTGAAAATGATGGCTGGTGCTGGACTGGAACTCCGAAAGTGGGTATCCAACTGCCGGGGCATATGCAAAGACGATGACGCGCAACACACGCTGGGTAAAGACGCCACAAAGGTTCTCGGATTGCTATGGAGGGCGAATGACGATATACTTACATACCAAACTCGCGCGCCTAGTATGCGCACTTCCAGCAAGAGGCAGGTACTTTCCGACGCATCCCGTATCTTCGATCCTTTAGGATTACTGTCACCAGTGACGGTGCAATTCAAAATTCTTTTCCAGGAGTTGTGGTTACACAAGCTAGGCTGGGATGATCCTTTGCCAACGCATCTAGCAGAGCGCTGGCTGAAGTACCAAGCTGATATTCACCATATCACAAGCCTGGCGCTACCTCGGTTCACGCCGAACTCTACGACGCACTTGGAGCTCCACGGGTTCTCGGATGCCTCAATAAAGGCGTACGCTGGTGCTGTGTACTGCCGCTTCAAGGGTCCAGATAACACGTTCACGATATCTTTGATGGCCGCCAAGACACGAGTGGCACCTCTGAAGCAGATCTCGCTGCCACGGTTGGAGCTGTGCGGCGCTCTATTGCTGACACGGCTAATGAAGACAATCCTAAACGTGCTGCCGCATAAATCTATAACAACGTACGCCTGGTGCGACTCAACCGTTGTATTGTCTTGGCTGTCTCAGCCTCCAGTAAGGCTGAAAACGTTTGTGGAAAATCGAACTGCTGAGATTTTGGAAACCTTGCCACGCAGCGTTTGGAGCCACGTCGAGTCGAAGGAAAATCCAGCCGATTGCGCGTCAAGAGGATTGGCAGCCGCTGCAATTTTGAATTTCAATCTCTGGTGGAAGGGGCCTCCTTGGCTTGGCGATGAAGAGCGCACTCGTAAGCTGGTGTATCAAACCAATCATCAGGAACTACACCAGATCCCGGGGGCCAATGTTGAGATGAAGAGCAGTGTACGAAGTTTAGTGGCTACGGAATCTCCACTTAGCAGTTTATTCGACACATTGATGGAACGATCGTCATCATGGCAGCGGCTCGTTCGAGTTATAGCCTATGTTCTACGCTTTATTCGCAATGCTCGGAAGACTTCACGCAGGTCTGACGCTAAAACACTTTCGTTCGATGAAATTAAGGAGGCGCGCATCCTTTGGTTACAACAGGCTCAAAGCTGTTTCCAGGAAGACATTCAGCAATTAAAGTGAAATGATGAGGTGAGTTCGCATTCAAAGCTTCTGCAGTTAGCTCCGTTCGTTGACGAGTTCGGCCTACTACGGGTAGGTGGACGGATTCGAAATTCAGAATTGCCGACGGAAACGCAGCACCCGGTTATTCTCCCAAGGGAACATCGGGCAACGGAACTCATACTTATCGACGAGCACATTCGTAATTTACATCCAGGAGTCTCAGCGTTGTTTGTGATAGTGCGGCAGAGGTATTGGATTTTGGGAGCTAGAAACCTGATTCGAAATATTACGCATAATTGCATCAAATGCTTTCGACAGAAGCGCACCTCTACGCAGCAATTCATGGCAGATTTACCGGCGATACGGGTTCGCCAAGCACACCCCTTCCAACATATCGGCGTTGATTACGCTGGGCCGCTAACGTTGAAATTATATCGGGGACGTAATGCTCGCACGTCAAAAGGATACATAGTCCTGTTTGTGTGCCTTGTAACATCGGCAATCCATTTTGAGCTCGTAACTGATTTGAGCACAGATGGGTTCCTAGCTGCATTCAAACGATTCATTTCGCGTCGAGGGAAATGCAGCAAGATATTCAGCGAAATTTTGTGGGAGCGGCCCGCGCACTGAACGATATGGACCGGCTTCTCCGTTCGCAACAACATAACAACATTGTCTCGCAGACACTCGCCGACGAACAAATTCAATGGAATTTCATACCACCCACGCTCCGCACTGGGGTGGAATATGGGAGTCAGGGGTACGGTCAGTGAAATTGCATTTGCGGCGTGTGATTGGGACCACTATTCTCACGTATTAGCAGATGTACACCCTTCTGGCCCAGATCGAAGCAGTAGTAAATTCACGGCCACTTGGGGTGGTGCCTGACAGCAATACTAATTACTTGTCGCCGTCTCATTTTCTCATAGGTAGACCGTACACGATGGAGATCTTGCCCAGGTCCCCATCAACCGGCTTGAGTATTGGCAGCATGTCCAGAATATGTACCAAGGCTTCTGGAAGCAATGGCATCGAGAATATCTTACATCGCTGCAAAACCGCCCGAAATGGTGCCGCCGTAATCCCAACATCAACATCGGGGACATTGTGGTTCTCAAGGAAAGTAACATACCACCTGCAATATGGCCGATGGCGAAGGTTATTGAAGTGCATCCTGGGAAGGNTGGTTATTGAAGTGCATCCTGGGAAGGACAGTTTAGTTCGAGTCGTCAAATTGAAGACCGCTCATGGTGACTTAACTCGTCCCATAACCAAGGTGGCAGTTCTACCCTTGTCCTGAAAATAACTTTTCAGCGGGGCCCAGTATGATCAGGAATGAGACACGAACACACCATATGTTGCCAGTTGGCAACTCTACATTGTATTAATTTTCTTATGTTACATTATTATGCTTTGTTCGCTTTGTAATTTATGCAAATCATGTATGTACATACGGAAATAAGTTTCAACTGCATTTATACTTGTTCGTTCATTTTCTCTCGTTCATTCTTCTATTGGTCAGAGAGACAGCAGCACCTGACTGCTTAGCAAATAAAGTAAGTTGAACCAAAAAGTTCGTTTCTAACCACTAATTAATACCACTAAAGTAAAATCTGTGGAAAATTAACAATAAAATACTTTTTTCGCAAAATCTGTAAAGGGCCTTTTTATTTCTCAAAAAACCTGGGCAACAGTTATTCGTCGCCACGCTGCACAATGGGACTACAGCGGCCAAAAATAAAAAAACGGACTTACTAATTCTAAAAAAGTAGATGCGCAGATTCATACCAAAATATCCAACTAACCCATACCAAAATTTTTGCTAAAATTTTATATTTGCGGTCATGGGACGAGTTTCAAGTAGATGCAACAAAAAAAAAAAATTAGAGAAAATTGTCATTTTGTTTAAAGTTTTTTAAAGTGATTTTTTTACGTGTCCGGAGGTATAATTGGCCAATCCGATTGATTACCAGTTTTTTTAATATATACTTAGAGTCTGGCAACGCTGTTTTTTGACTTCGAATTTGACATTTACGAGTTACTGTTACTTAAATATTAACAATAAACTGAAATTGAAGATTTGTTGTGGTAAAAAATTAGTTGGATAATTGTTAAAAAGTTTCGAAGACTTCATTTCCAATTTGTTATACCAAGTCGAGGTGCAAGTATGTTAATTACGTTCAGAAATTTTTAGCTGCAAAAAGCAGCAATTTCACATTTTATTGACCTTTTCAAAACCATTTTAAAGTTCTTGGAAGAAAAATGTGGAGAAGGAATTAATATTGATGACAAGAAAATTGGCTTACTGGTCAACAAATTCTCACAAACATGGTCGGAGAGTCATCGCATTAAGAGCGTATTTAAACGGAGGAATGGTGCTTGGCTGAACACAGAACTAAGCTTTCAAAAGCAAGATGAACATGTGGAACCAAATAAAAGCAGGGGAAGACCTAATGTTGATTATAAAGACGCTTCCTGCAGAACCTAAATGCGGAGAGTTAACGAATTTTTAACATCAAAGTCTCCAGAAGAAGTGTTGAAAGCTGCAAGAAAAATACAAAATTCAATGGAGCAGACTGTTAAAAAGGGCATCTCAGTTCATGAGGCTTTAGGGTTATTTTTTTATTTAAATTTATCTAAGGAAAAGTATAATATTTTGCGATCGGTAGTTAATTCTGTTCACAACGAGTGTTTTCCTAGCTACTATGCTCTGAAAAAAGCTAAGGACGAATTGCTACACGGTTAAAAATTTCGGTTTTAATTTTAAACTTTTTGGACTACATATATGACCAAACTAAATTCAGTTTCAAATATAAACCTTCCATGTTTAAAAAGAAAGAGAGCACATTTGTTTGGTTTAAAATTTAAACAGTTCGGTTTAAATTTTAAACCCAAACAATTTCAGATTTAATTTAAAATAAAAAAAATAAATTTCATGATCCGCCTGATTGGGATTGAACCCGAACAGCCTTGGTAGCAAGCAATTGTATCAAGCATCTTTGCACACTCAGCTACAGCCACGCATGTAAATGTGCTGTCATATGTTGAGTTTGAACACATTTCGTTGTGTGCAAACATTTTTTATTTCGGTTTAGATTTTAAACCAAATTTTCTATATATGAAACCTCGAAACTAGAATTAAAACATTTTGGTTTGATTTTTAAACCACGAACTTTTTGGACTAAAATTTAAACCAGAATATATTAAAAATTGCTTAAAACTATTGACTGGTTTAAAAGGTAGACTATACAAGATTAAAAAAGGCAGTAGTAACAGGGCGGTTTAAAAATTAAACCTACACACACAGCCATTTTCAGCAACAGAGACAACGGCAGAAATATCATTGCAAAGTCTCTTAAATAAAACGTCTTTGACCTTACTAAATTTATGCGATTTTGATAGGGAACGGGAAAAAGAAATCAATTTAACTTTAGAGTGCAAATGGGGTTTCGATGGGAGTTCGGGTCATTGTCGATATACCCAAAAATTCAGTGAAGTGCAGAATTCAGATAAGTTTTTAGTTGTTGTTGCAATAGTACCTCTGCGAATTATAAATGAAAGTAGTGGAAAGGAAGTTTGGCTAAACAAATTGTCATCATCGTCTAAATTTTGTCGTCCCATAAAAATTTCATTTCAGAAAGAGTGTCCTGACCTAATACGTAGTTTAGAAAAATATATAGACAATCAAAAAAATGAGCTTCTTCCATATCAATCAATCTGTAGAGAAAAAGAAATATGTGTAAATTTTAAGTTAATGCTTACAATGGTAGATGGTGCCGTTATAAATGTTTTAAGTGGTAACACTAGTGGTGCAGTGTGCTATTTATGTGCAGCAAGGCCGACGGATATGAACTCTTTGAAAACTAGAGAGAGATCTGTCAATGAGGAACACCTCCAATATGGCCTTTCAACTTTACATGCACATATCAAATTTTTTGAATGTTTGCTCCATATTTCTTATAGCCTGCCTTTAAAATGTTGGAGGGTCAGTGGAAAGAAGAATAAGGATGTTTTTAATGGAAATAAAAAGAGCACTCAGCAAGAATTTAAAACAGAAACAGGCTTGATAGTTGATGCTGTAAAAACTGGGTACGGTACAACGAATGACGGAAACACAGCGAGGAGATTTTTTGAAAATTGTGAAATTTCGGCAAAAATTACAAAAATCGATATTAATCTTATCAGAACGTGTAAATTTAAGTCAATTTCAGGAACATTTAAATGAAACAGTTCAGATATGTTTAAATTTGTATTCATGGTATTACATGCCCAGTACAGTTCACAAAATTTGAATACATGCATGCCAAGTCATAAAGAGCTTCCAAATACCGGTTGGGCTTTTATCGGAAGAAGCTATTGAAACTAAACACAAGGAGATTCGGAAATTACGTCTTAATAATACCCGAAAAATGTCAAGAGTTCCCACTAATTATGATTTAATGTCATACATGCTGCTATCCTCTGATCCACTATTAATAAGTAAACGACGAATTTTTAAGAATCGTTCTTCTGTAGACATAACGGAGTTTCTTGTACCGGAAGAAGAAGAAATTGGCTGTAGTAGTGATTTGAGCGATGAAGATTTAATTTAGTTTATGTATTATGAGATTTCGCAATTACTGCAATTAATTTAGAGTGCAATGGGGTAACGTGAGCAACCCATGTGCGAGATGCGGTAACCAATCCGCATGCCATGTAAAGGAGCGCAAATTCGGAGTTGGATTTGTGGTGGGAGAGAGACTCCGTCGCCGAGTACTGTCGTTCACCCCGGTGGACGAGCGTCTAGCCATAATCCGCATCAAAGCGAGACTCTTCAACATCTCGCTCATCTGCGCCCATGCCCCGACGGAACAGAAGGATGAGTCATCCAAGGATCTCTTCTATGAGCGCTTGGAGCGCACGTACGAGCGCTGCCCCCGTCATGATATCAAAATCGTGCTTGGCGACTTCAATGCCAGGGTGGGCGAGGAAGGGATCTTTAGAACCATCATCGGAAAATTCAGCCTCCACGACGAAAC